AGGCTTTAGTACCTGCACGATGGTCTCGAGCGCGTGTAGCAAGGTGAGCGCAACTTCTGCGGCGAGCGCGGCGGCGTGCGCGGGCGGCGGCGCGGCGGGCGACAGCGGCTGCGAGCGCGCGCCGCCGCGGAACCATTCTTTACGCCAGCGCTCGCGCTTGCAGCCGCTTGCTGACGAGTTGCCTGCTGGCCAGTCGTGGGATTAACAGTCAGAGTAAATACAAATGAGTAGGTCATCTTCATAGAAACGCCCGAGCGCGGTTTGTAAGTGAGCGCGCCAATACGTATGCGGCGCGCACGCACACACTGACAAAGTTGAGCGTTGATTAGCGGTGAGTTGCCCCGAATTTTGTCAGTGTGTGCGTGCGCTCACATACAAACCGCGCTCGGTGCGTTTCTATGAAGATGACCTACTCATTTGTATTTACTCTGATACAGTAGTACGCGTTCAGGTCAAACGCGATGGAGGACTGTTGTGGACGCCCTCTGCCCCATCTAGGGGACATAGGACCATAAGTCAAGTAAGTCAAGTAGTTCGAGATCGAATCAGAAATGAGGAAATTCGTAAACGAACTAAAGTCGCTAACATAGCCCGACGGATTAGCAAGCTGTAGTAGCAATGGTCAAGGCACATAGTACGCAGAATTGACGGCCGATGGGGCAGCAAGGTTCTGGAATGGAGGCCGCGTACCGGAAAACGCAGCGTGGGACGTCCACCCACAAGGTGGGCCGACGACATCATAAAGGTAGCAGGAAGGCGCTGGGCGCAGACCGCTACCAACCAGGCAACATGGAAAGCATTGGGGGAGGCCTATGTTCAGCAGTGGACATCCTATGGCTGAGATGATGATGATGACAGAAAGTCACAGCGGGGTCCACAGTGGACGATCCACCACGCTCCAAATTCAATCGTACGAGGCACTAAAGGTAGCCTTTCGAAGCGAGCGTCTATAGCGTCAGTGGCGCCGCAACTGTGACGCCGCGACAAATAGATGTTCTATGCAAATGTATGAAATTCTAGGGAACGTCATTCGAACGCAGCGACACTGACGCGGCGTTAGTGACGCGGCGTTGAATGCACTAAAGACCAAAGCTAAAGACGCTGCGTCTGTGACGCTTAGTTCGAATGGTTACCCTTAGGCGCACGTTCCAGTGTAGGTCGGTGTGCAGTGAGTCATTCGGTATGTAAAATACTATAGTCTGGTCTGCGAGCACGTAGAATTTTGTCCAATGACCCCAAGCTACCCATCCTTATCGCTGGCGTGTAATTATATTGCTGTCACGACTGTGCGACGGGCGCCCGCAGTGAGTGTGCGAGCGCCCGTCCGTTGGATAAAATTCTACGTGCTCACAGACCGGGCTTTACATACTTTTTATGAGCTGTCAAAAAGTCACCAATACGTGAATTCAGCGGAACAAGTATTTGATGAAAAATATTAGCGTGATTTGACAAACCTTTGCGTCGCATAATAAAGTCGGAGCGGGCCGACCCTTGACCCAGGATGACGTCTTCAAGCTTGGCTTTGATGTCGGTCGTCTTGCGGATGTTCTGTTGCGCGCACTTCATTATCTCTTTGCAACCCTGTGGCAGAAAAATATACATAAGATAGATCCACAGTACTCAAGTACCAGGCAGCCGCAGTCACTTTTGGTAACATTTTCCAAAAAGTTATGTTATAATATGTCCTTTCCCTCAAAGTATAAAGTCAGGACCAAACACATGAGACATTTCAGTTGCGGGATGTCTCACTGTGACAATGTGTCGTGGGTGCCCCTGGAAGTACAAAGTGTTAGGTCTCACAAAACACACCAGCAACCAGCTGTCTTGCTGCTTTGGGTCACTTCCCTTGTCCCACACGAGACATAGCCGCGGCTGTCTCCTTGTCACACGCACCTTGTACTCCTGGCACTTGAAGCACAGGTCGATGAGCGTCAGCAGGCGGTGCAGCGAGGCTGGTGGTAGCTCGCTGGCGCAAGCACTGAGTAATGCGCGGTCGCTCCACTTGTCTCACACGACACAGCCGCGGCTGTCTCCTTGTCACACGCACCTTGTACTCCTGGCACTTGAAGCACAGGTCGATGAGCGTCAGCAGGCGGTGCAGCGAGGCTGGTGGTAGCTCGCTGGCGCAAGCACTGAGTAATGCGCGGTCGCTCCACTTGTCTCACACGACACAGCCGCGGCTGTCTCCTTGTCACACGCACCTTGTACTCCTGGCACTTGAAGCACAGGTCGATGAGCGTCAGCAGGCGGTGCAGCGAGGCTGGTGGTAGCTCGCTGGCGCAAGCACTGAGTAATGCGCGGTCGCTCCACTTGTCTCACACGACACAGCCGCGGCTGTCTCCTTGTCACACGCACCTTGTACTCCTGGCACTTGAAGCACAGGTCGATGAGCGTCAGCAGGCGGTGCAGCGAGGCTGGTGGTAGCTCGCTGGCGCAAGCACTGAGTAATGCGCGGTCGCTCCACTTGTCTCACACGACACAGCCGCGGCTGTCTCCTTGTCACACGCACCTTGTACTCCTGGCACTTGAAGCACAGGTCGATGAGCGTCAGCAGGCGGTGCAGCGAGGCTGGTGGTAGCTCGCTGGCGCAAGCACTGAGTAATGCGCGGTCGCTCCACTTGTCTCACACGACACAGCCGCGGCTGTCTCCTTGTCACACGCACCTTGTACTCCTGGCACTTGAAGCACAGGTCGATGAGCGTCAGCAGGCGGTGCAGCGAGGCTGGTGGTAGCTCGCTGGCGCAAGCACTGAGTAATGCGCGGTCGCTCCACTTGTCTCACACGACACAGCCGCGGCTGTCTCCTTGTCACACGCACCTTGTACTCCTGGCACTTGAAGCACAGGTCGATGAGCGTCAGCAGGCGGTGCAGCGAGGCTGGTGGTAGCTCGCTGGCGCAAGCACTGAGTAATGCGCGGTCGCTCCACTTGTCTCACACGACACAGCCGCGGCTGTCTCCTTGTCACACGCACCTTGTACTCCTGGCACTTGAAGCACAGGTCGATGAGCGTCAGCAGGCGGTGCAGCGAGGCTGGTGGTAGCTCGCTGGCGCAAGCACTGAGTAATGCGCGGTCGCTCCACTTGTCTCACACGACACAGCCGCGGCTGTCTCCTTGTCACACGCACCTTGTACTCCTGGCACTTGAAGCACAGGTCGATGAGCGTCAGCAGGCGGTGCAGCGAGGCTGGTGGTAGCTCGCTGGCGCAAGCACTGAGTAATGCGCGGTCGCTCCACTTGTCTCACACGACACAGCCGCGGCTGTCTCCTTGTCACACGCACCTTGTACTCCTGGCACTTGAAGCACAGGTCGATGAGCGTCAGCAGGCGGTGCAGCGAGGCTGGTGGTAGCTCGCTGGCGCAAGCACTGAGTAATGCGCGGTCGCTCCACTTGTCTCACACGACACAGCCGCGGCTGTCTCCTTGTCACACGCACCTTGTACTCCTGGCACTTGAAGCACAGGTCGATGAGCGTCAGCAGGCGGTGCAGCGAGGCTGGTGGTAGCTCGCTGGCGCAAGCGCTGAGCGCGGCGCGGTCGCTCCACTTCAGGACCCACACCAGACACATAAGTAAGTTGCGGGATGTTTCACTGTTGAACGGGGGTTTCGCTGTCTGCAGAATAGAAAACAAGGTAACAAGGAGATCAAGATATTGCAATAAAATCAAAAGAGTTTGAATGAGTCTAAATGTTTGGTGGAAGGTGAACTGACCTGTTTAAAGTCCCCATCGGGCGACGTCGTATTGTAGAAGTTGCCAAACTGACCGATGTCACTGTCCAGTTGGAGTATTTCTGCAAAAAAGTTTACTATGTCAAAAGAACTGTCGCAATGAGGGCTATCGTTTTTATACTTAACAGTTGGCACCCCTGGCGATTGACAGGACCTTACTCTACAGTGGCGCCATCTTGATGAGTGCAAATGCGATAGTCCTCCTACCACTTTTAGCGCTCACCAGTTGGTGCCACTGTCTTCGCTACTAGCAAGTGACAGGACCTTACTCTACAGTGGCGCAGTGGCGCTAACTGGTGACCTGGTGAGCGCTAAAACGATAGCTCTCATTTCGATATAGCATTTCGATGAAGCCTGTAAGGCATGGTTTTTATTAGCAAGGCGGATAGGAAAGGAGAGGAGATTGAGACGAGATGTGTTTTGAATAACCAATCAGATTTCGTTATTTCCATATCTCTCCGCTCAACAGCGAGCGAGAGCGCGAGATATTTAGGGCGGTATCGTTTTTCTATAGATTGAGCTACGAGCGAGCCAGCAATATGGTGGAGCGTGGCGGCAGTTTGTCGGTGTGGAGATGTGTCAAGGCCCCACGGGGCGTTTCAGGGGGACTAAAGCAGGGCAGCTAAGAGACGCCCGCATTCGCGTATCTCGTTCCCCACTTGTCTCGCGGCAGGCCTGTGGGGGGTCGCTGGGGCCCACCTTTACCCCACGAGCGGCAGGTACAGGGCTGCCACGCGCGCCTTGAGTTCGGGCGGCAGGCCGGGGGTCGCTGGGGCCCACCTTTGTTGTTGTCCAGGCCGCGGGGCAGCTGCGGCAGCGCGTCCAGGGCCACCTGCACGAGCGGCAGGTACAGGGCTGCCACGCGCGCCTTGAGTTCGGGCGCACGCAGACGTGGGTCGGCGTCGTGCGCCGCCAGCAGAGACACTACTGCGCCTACTGCGCTGCCTTGCAGCATCGGGCTCCTGCAACACGACGTAAGAATGAGCTGATGCTTGCAAGAGCACAATCCTCTCTAATGTCTAAACAACAAGTTTCAATGGTTTTGTCGCTGGACTATAGTCCAGACTCATCGTAATCCGAGTCGGATGCACGGGCGCGGCGTGCGCTGCATTTACAAATTTTCAGTACTGAACCGCGTACAAAGGGTAAAGAAGTCTCGCAGTGTAAAGTTGAAGGCCTCTAACGAATTCATGGTCCCTTGCCGAGCGAGAAACGAGAGAAACAACGGTGACTGCTTACACTGCCCGGCAATGTGTAAGCAGTCACCGTTGTTATTGCTGGACAAAGGTTTCTCCAACGAACGGTCCTGCGCTGCCCGTGCTTCCCGAGAGTACTGCGGCGCCTGGTGGGACACACTGCGGCGCCTGGTGGGACACGCGGCGCCTGGTGGGACACACTGCGGCGCCTGGTGGGACACGCGGCGCCTGGTGGGACACACTGCGGCGCCTGGTGGGACACACTGCGGCGCCTGGTGGGACACTCACTGCGGCGCCTGGTGGGACACTCACTGCGGCGCCTGGTGGGACACACTGCGGCGCCTGGTGGGACACGCGGCGCCTGGTGGGACACTCACTGCAGCTCCAGCGCGGCGGCCAGCTCGGCCAGCAGCAGGCCGGCGAGGTAGTGCCGCGAGCGGAACTCGTGCGTGAGCTGGGCAGGCGAGTGCGAGGAGGCGGCGCCTGGTGGGACACGCGGCGCCTGGTGGGACACTCACTGCAGCTCCAGCGCGGCGGCCAGCTCGGCCAGCAGCAGGCCGGCGAGGTAGTGCCGCGAGCGGAACTCGTGCGTGAGCTGGGCAGGCGAGTGCGAGGAGGCGGCGCCTGGTGGGACACGCGGCGCCTGGTGGGACACTCACTGCAGCTCCAGCGCGGCGGCCAGCTCGGCCAGCAGCAGGCCGGCGAGGTAGTGCCGCGAGCGGAACTCGTGCGTGAGCTGGGCAGGCGAGTGCGAGGAGTGCGAGCCGGAGTGCTGGGAGGGCGCGGGCGAGGCGGCGCCGCCGGCGGACGGCGGCAGGTTCAAAGACACGTAGTGCTCGTGCGAGCAGATGATGCGGAGGAACGCGAGCTGTCGACAAAGTATGTTCATGAGATTCTGTCTTGCTGAGCTGACTGAGCAGTGGCATAGAGCAGACCGTAATCCGCTACAGCCAGCTGTACCAGACCCGCGAAGAGAAAATCTCTATAAAAACAACCGGAGGAGGGACTTGGGGGTCCCCTCGAAGCCGGAGTGGCTCGCTACTGAGTGAGCCATAGCCTGAGATGTGGACGAATGTCCAAATTAAGATAATATCTCGCAGCTCCGTTTCATTTGGCTTCGGTGGACACCGTCGTATTTTACTGGGTAGGCCCCACCCTTCGGCCTTCGGCAGGTCCTGGCGAGATCCACATAGCCCACTGGTAGTCCCCATCAGTGGGTATGCAAATAATTTCCGGACGTGACAAAAAGGCTGTCGCTATACAGGGTGGAAACGATAAGTGATCTTACTTGATTATTTCTAAACTATAAAAGATATCAAGAAACTAGTTACTGATCCTGAAAGAGCTTCATGAGCTCTATCAAACGGTATCAATAAATAGGTTACAAAATAAACTGGATCTATCCAAATATTCAATGTTTCACTGACCTTATAATGCACCAGTGGTACGGCATCGGGCAGCGAGGCGATCTTGGCACTCATTTGCTTGTAGTAGGAGCGGATGAGCAGGAACACGTAGCCGCGGTCCATGATGCTGAGCAGGTCGAATAAGAAGAAGGCCAGGCTGTTGTTTAAGCTCTGGGTGAGCCGGCTGTTCTTGCCGTATCTGAAAAAGGAGATGGTAATCGATTCTTCCGAAACTAGTAACTCTATGACTAAGTATTCGTAGTTGGAACAGAAGTCGGTAATCATTTCTCTCGCAAAAATTTTAGTTACTCTATGGTCTTCAAGTATTACGGCGACAACAACCAAAGGTCAAGACATTTGACTGCTGATTCGGAGGACGCTAATTCGATCCCCAATCCCCATCGATCATTGAATGTTGTGGTGAACTCAGTGGCCTAGCTGGAGATGAGTAGTTTGTGCATTACGCATTTCCTTCCGAGTTTTTAGATTCAGTTAAGGTTCGGCCAAACCAACGCGATCACATCACCAGCCGGCGTGCAGCGATGGCGATCAATACGTTTAAGTCTGGTCGCCATCGCTGCACGCCGGCTGATAGCGTGTGATCGCGTTGGTTTGGCTGAACTCCTAAAAAGAAATGCCGCCGAGATCTTTCTTAAAAATGAAAAATTACATCTTAAACTATACAGAACAACAGTGATTCTCGTCGTTTCAGCCGAATGAAGTCCACTGCTGGACAAAGGCTTCTAAACAAGGTTATATTGCTTCAAGAAAGAGGAAGCATGACTTGAGTATCAACACACTATCAGAGGCTTAAGGATTAGCAAGCTGAAGTGGCAGTGGGCAGGGCACATAGTACGCAGAACTGACGGCCGATGGGGCAGCAAGGTTCTGGAATGGAGGCCGCGTACCGAAAAACGCAGCGTGGGACGTCCACCCACAAGGTGGATCGACGACCTGATAAAGGTAGCAGGAAGGCGCTGGATGCAGGCCGCTACCAACCGTGCGATGTGGAAGTCATTGGGGGAGGCCTATGTTCAGCAGTGGACGTCCTGTGGCTGAAATGATGATGACACTATCAGAATACGAACCCCGAGATGATCTCCGAAGTGACGTTATTGACGAGGGTGGTTACATCGTCTGTGAACTGCTCCGGGAAGCGAGCCTTGCGTGGCGCCTCGTGCGCGCCACTCCAGTACAAATACTCCACCATTGATTTGATCATCAGCTCGAAAAATGCCCTGAATTGACAAAATGACACAGTTAATAGGCCCAGTAATATACAAGTTGGTAAAATAAGCATTTCAGGATGATTGAGGGAGATCCGAATTCATTTGGTAATTAGAAAGTTCAATATCGACCTGCAATCGTGTATTTTTTTTCGATGTTGTCTTCATACATAAAGTTGTTGTATTTGAGTATGAAAAGCACCTACTGTTTGGGATTTTGTAAAATCTGTATACACAGATGTGGCTCGTAGGTATGTACTTTCTTAAGAAACTGTAAGGCCGGGTTGCACCATCTTACTTAACTTTGACAAACGTCAAAAATCTGTCAAACTCCATACAAAAAGCACCGGTTATCGTCATAGTTACCGTTAAAGTTACGTTAGGTTAGGTGGTGCAACTCAGCTTTAGACTGCAATGTAAAGAAACGCTATAGTGTCATAACAATTTGAACTTTCATACATTGCAATAAGGTACATACCAAGAGTTCTGCATGGCGAGTTCTCTGGTGGCTCCGCTCGCCACAACCCACTGAAGAGCCAGCTCCTCGTGCAAGATCTTGCAGGAGCCGTCCGTCATTACTGATAACAAAAAGCGTAATCTTTTACATGTTGAATTCTTTTTTAATCCGGCCCGAAGGACCAATGAGTAAAACACCAAAGTTCAGTTGACGAAAAAGACCAATGAATTTTACTAGCAATTAGATATTTTTTTTTAATTATAAATAGTTTGAGATGCGGCTCTTAACGCTAAAAATTAAATAACTAGCAATTAGCTATTCTTTCATAGTACAGACAAGAGCAAGTACACCAAGCTATACACTATGGCGTCTTCATATTATTATACGAGTAGTTGTAATAAGTACTATTTCCTTCATGTACGAGTAGTTGTAATAAAAACTATTGTCCCATAAACAAAATAACTGGATGTTAAACTTCAGTTTCACACCTTCTTTGAATACCTCATCTAATAATATGACTTACCGGTGGGTGGCAGGGGTAGCCCGATGTCCCGGTCCGTAAGAGACGGGCGCGGGATAGTCGCCTGATATTGAATGTACGTAGTAATAAGTCCGCTACGGCCGTGCGCGTCACACGTAGCGCCCTCGTTCATATTCTGTTAAAAAAACCATTACGTCATTATAACAGGATTTATTTTATGCAAGTAGGGGTAGCGGTAATCGCCTGATCAAGGTTCGGTTTCGAACGCTGGCACAAGTTGACGAGCGGTTGCGAAAGTGGTAGCAGGTCAGTATGCTTTGCATGTAAGCGAGTGTAGGTCAAGTTCTCTATTTGCCTCTAGTAAATTAGAGTGGGTCGTCCTCCTGCATTGAAGACTCAAACGACTTGATATTGATGACTGAGATGTCTTTACGAGTCTTCATTGATTCCAAAGTAAAGGTTGTTCATGCGTTGAACCTTAGTAAAGTTGTAATCAAAAGTAAAAGTTTTTTGAAAATTGAAAAGTCCTATAAGATTTTAAACCACGTTAAGCAGAGAGTACATAATGTAACTCATTAATAAAAGTCGCGTTAAGACCCGTGTCTTACTATTTTAATTGTAAAGTCCTATTCACACACCGTGACCTCGCTGAACAGCTGCGCGACGCACGTGAACACCTGCTACGCCGCCGTCAGCAGCCGCAGCAGCCGGTCCAGCTACCGGTAGGCACGCTGCTATAGTCTGGTCCGTGAGCACGTAGAATTTTGTCCAATGACCCCAAGCTACCCATCCTTATTGCTCGCGCGTAATTATGTTGCTCGCGCTCGCACACTCACTGCGGGCGCCCGTCGCACAGTCGCGACAGCAATATAATTACGCGCGAGCGATAAGGATGGGTAGCTAGGGGTCATTGGACAAAATTCTACGTGCTCACGGACCGGGCTTTAGACGCTTACACGCACCGTGACCTCGCTGAACAGCTGCGCGACGCACGTGAACACCTGCTGTGCGATGTTGAGCGGCGCGCCCGCCAGCGCCGGCGCCGCTGCCAGCAGCCGCAGCAGCCGGTCCAGCGCTACCGGCAGATATGCTGCCAATGCCTCCACGCTTGCTGTGGGCAGCTCAGCTATGCTGTGTGGAGCAAACAATAGGTATATTGAGACGTTTGAGCGCCGCAATAATGCGCTGCACGTGACATGCTATACAACACTCGCTGCACCACCATAAAGCGACAATATTTTGACGCATATGGTAGGCCGTACAGTGCAGCGCAGCTCTCCTCAAATGTCTATATCACGCACGAAGATATGTATCCCTTATTTTAATGAACAAAATATTTTTTTATTCATTGAAATTTATATAATTTTATGGTAGAAAATAATGAGGTATTTGGCACTACCAATATGTTGGCATACTTTTCGAAAACTTTCAAAACGTAAAAAATTTCGCATACATTTTGTAAATCGATTCAAGCCGTCATTGCATGCCGTAAATGCTGTCATAGGTAATCAAAAACTGAATGAATTACATAGTTTATGGTTTACCTGGCCCGCAGTTCAGCCTCCATGTTAGCAAGACCGATTCTTGGCGGGATATTGCCCTCTTGCACTGCCTCGCACGCCATTGCAAACCGTTCGATGTACCCGTCCTATTTAAAAAGTACATAAATAAGAGCAAAAAGTAAAAATAGTAACTTCTTCAATTCAAAGAATTCCGTATATTTTTTCATGATTCCAGTAAAAATAAATAGTTGATCAAAAATCAAGCTGATAAGCAAGGTTAACAATGAACAGGAGCCAAACAACAAGTTTTTTTTAATGCTGTATTTACCTTTAAAGGCATATTATCTTATAATGTAACGATGCATGTGAAATGATATGTTGTTGGTAAATCTTTAACAATATAAATAAATATTTTCTTAATCATTCTTTAATGCTGTTATTAAACTAAACATTTTGTGTTCCATTTAAACAAGAGTGCTCATTATCTTACTAGCGGATGAACCGTCGTGTGGGCATCCAACGCAATGCTAAATATCGGCTTATGGTTGTCAATCCACCGCGTCCCGGGCAGCAGTACATCGGGGAATATGTAAGAATAGTTGGGCGGCGGCTCCTCCTGCATCACTGGTAAGTTGAACTCGCCGCACGTCAGCTTGCCGTTGCGACATAGGGGGAGCCACTGCGGGGAGAGTTTGTAAGTAAGTGAATTATAATAATATGTTACAGAAAGTTTTCTTTGTAAAGGTTTTAAAAAAAATATCTACTTAATGTCGTCAACAATATGGTGTAATTTAGCTTGTCTCAGAGTCGAACACCGTTTCGTCGTACATAAATCAGTGATCGGTTCTGTACCGATGCGATAGGGCTGACTGTGTAAGAAGCTATTGTGTCACCATCTATAGATCGTGTCATTCACGAAGACGCGCCCCACCAATGTTTGGTAGAGGAAAACGCGGGGTGCGGGGAGTTTGATCCGAGTAATCCAAGCGTCATTATTGTAAGGTGCGTGTGGTGTACTCATAGAGAATTTAGCGTGTCAAAAATTAAAATCAAAAATATTTATTCAGTTTAGACCACAAGTGGCACTTATGAACGTAAATAGAAAATAATAAAAAAAAGAAAAGGTAGCCCTTATGGGGCACTTTACATGTCTACCGTACCGTGTACCGATAACACTCAAACATTAGCGGAAGAATGGTGGGGCGCGTCTTCGTGGATGACACGATCTATAGCGCACCACACGCGTATTTTTTCTTCTTTCCATAGAGAAAGTAATTTTTTGGTCTAGTATAACTATTTACTACTTACTTAAAAATTTAGTAAACCAATATAGGCTTATTGGAACAAAGACATGTTGCGAACTTTTTGGCTACTTTGGGTGTCACGAACTATTTGACGCTGATTGTACTTGATACTTGTTGTTTTGTGCTGTGTAAAAGCAGTATCTCACCGAGTATCCCACGACGGTTTCTACGTTCTTCTCTTGTCCGGGCGCGACGGGCTTGCGCTGGCACGCCACGTGTAGAAACGTGAACAGCAGGTGGTGCTGGTCTCCTAAGTCTGCCGGGAGCTTTAGTTTTATCTCGTCGTAGAGGGATGGCGACCTGGGGGGAACCATTTAAAGGTTAAAGTCTTTTGTTCCGTACTCAAGCCCTTTTCAGGGCGCTTATACATGTCCTAAATAGTTTGCCCTACCACCACTTCCACACAACATATGGGTTGGTGCTGAGAAGAAGTGGCGGAACCTTTGACATGATCATCATAAGCTCATTTATCCAGTACAGGAGCAACCTCTCTTACCAGCGACAAATGAAGGATTTGGCCACTTTCCACGCTGGCCAGGTAATGCCGGATATAGGGACCCTTCTCTCGTTACCACCGCGACAACTGTGTAGCCAGAATCTACAGCTTGACTGCCAATAAAAACCCAACCAGTAAATATCAAGTTTGTCCCCATTTATTAGATTTCGAGTGTCGTTGTCTTGCCAGCGCCCGTGCAGTGTCTTGGCAGCTCATGCGTGCCTGTATTTAGTTTAAAGGGAGTTGGTGTTCTCGCCAGCGTCTGTCACCTTCGTCGAACCTCGAAAGACGATAGTGTCGAGGAAGCCATACCACAGAATAATAATAAGTACTACGTACAGAAGTTTTACTTCGCGAAGGTATTTAAAAAAATGTATGCTCAATGTCATTAACAATATGGTGTAATTTAGCCTGTCTCAAGAGTCAAGCACCATTCTGTTGACAAACGACAGTGATCGGCACTGCGCCGAAGCTATAGGGCTGACTTCGGTAAAATGATGTGATGTGAGGTGCCAAACTGCGGAAAATGGCGGAGGAAATACATGATTTAGCATGAATTATCATGAATAATATTAACTACTTATTTACCTCTCAGTGTCTTGAGCAGCTTAAAAAAGTACATTCTGTGTTTTTATTATTATTTACGCAGTTAAATACTGCAAAGTAACAGTATTTAGTACACCATTTTCTTTATTTTCTTCCATCATACACAAGAATACGCGTGCGTGAGTCAATGTTCGCTCGTATGTGAGGCCTTGTCGAATAGTATCCTGTAGGTGGGTCATCGTGCGTGTTTTGTTTTCGATGTAAACTCGCGGAGATGAACAGGCCTGGCCATACATATATTTGTGGTAGTTTCCGTAAAAAATACATACAAAAGAGTTAAGATATACATAATCGGGACCTGGATTTCCAGTGAAACAACTTACTTGTTGTGATACAGCACGGTGGTATAGGCCTCTGTAGAGAACTCGGGGCACGAGCTTCGTCCGAAGATGGCCGGCAGCGCTGCCGATTGTTGCTCACCCGCCATTAGCTGCACTCGCACCTATGTAGTTGAAAAGAAAGTTTTAGTGGGATTATTTAGGGTCGTAATATGACATGTTTTAATACTTTGATTAGACGATAAAAAATATGTTTTAATAATAATACGTTTATTTCAGACCATTATGATCCATACAGAGTTGTGTTAGTAACAATATTATACTTAAAATCTAGGTTATTAGTAACATGAATCAGTCAAAAAACCGGTTTCTGGATCCATGCATGTGAATATTAATCCAGTGCTTAAAGATGGGACGCAATGGCCTATCTTTGATAACCGACAGGATGCTGTTGGCGCTCTCCCGAATCTTCGCAAGCATCGAGGCTGTTCGTTTACGGATAATAGCGTAGAAGTCATCCACACGCGCTTCCGAGAACATAGTTGAAGCACTGCAGAACCTTGGTAGCCCCATCAGCATCCTGAAGGTATTATTGTTTATTGAAGGCATTTAACGCTGCAGCGAACTATAGTTTTAATTCCTTCCAAATTGGAGCTAGATTTTTTTTAAGACAGCTTCTCTATCCTTTATTACTCTATGGATAAGATTAAATAATTAATTTACAAAATGCCTACTTACAGTGATATTCCTCGCAGAGCCAGTTCTTGAAGTGTAGGCAGCCAGGCTGATGTCTCGCACGGATAGGAACAGCAGCGCTCGGTACTGGTAGTGAGGCACGAGCGTCGGCGTCAGCGGGAACGGTAGGATTCCCTACACCGCCTAACTATTGACTGAGTAACCTACAAGGGGACCACTTACAGTGATATTCCTCGCAGATCCAGTCCTAGAAGTGTATGCAGCCAGGCTGATGTCTCGCACGGACAAGAATAATAGCGCTCGGTACTGGTAGTGAGGCACGAGCGTCGGAGTCAGCGGGAACGGTAAGATTTCCCTACACCGCCTGACTATAAGTAGTAACCTACAAGTGTCCCACTCACAGTGATATTCCTCGCAGACCCAGTCCTAGACGTGTAGGCAGCCAGGCTGATGTCTCGCACGGATAGGAACAGCAGTGCTCGTTACTGGTAGTGAGCCACGAGCGTCGGCGTCAGCGGGAACGGTAAGATTTCCCTACACCGCTTGATTATTGACTGAGTAACCTATAAATGACCCACTTACAGTGATATTCCTCGCAGACCCAGTCCTTGAGGTGTAGGCAGCCAGGCTGATGTCTCGCACGGATAGGAACAGCAGCGCTCGGTACTGGTAGTGAGGCACGAGCGTCGGCGTCAGCGGGAATGGTAGGATTTCTTTACACCGCCTGACTATTGACCGAGTAACCTACAAGGGGACCACTTACAGTGATATTCCTCGCAGACCCAGTTCTTGAAGTGTAGGCAGCCAGACTGATGTCTCGCACGGATAGGAACAGCAGCGCTCGGTACTGGTAGTGAGGCACGAGCGTCGGCGTCAGCGGGAACGGTAAGATTTCCCTACACCGCCTGACTATTGACTGAGTAACCTATAAATGACCCACTCACAATGATATTCCTCGCAGAACCAGTCCTAGAGGTGTAGGCAGCCAGGCTGATGTCTCGCACTGATAGGAATAATTGCGCTCGGTACTGGTAGTGAGGCACGAGCGTCGGAGTCAGCGGGAACGGTAAGATTTCCCTACACCGCTTGACTATTGCCTGAGTAACCTACAAGGGGACCACTTACAGTGATATTCCTCGCAGAGCCAGTCCTTGAGGTGTAGGCAGCAAGGCTGATGTCTCGCACGGATAGGAACAGCAGCGCTCGGTACTGGTAGTGAGGCACGAGCGTTGGCGTCAGCGGGAATGGTAGGATTTCTTTGCACGGCCTGACGTTTTCATCTGTTGAGTAATTATCAAGACATAGGATGAATGGGTTTCCATTTATCTCGATCGATGGACCAAGTTAACAGGGATAAGTGGAATAACTCATGTAAGCAGCTGCTGCTGGTATTTCATAAAAAAACATAAGTTAACTTTTAAAATCTAAACAACTACTCTACCCTACCCTATCACTGCTTAGGGATAATAGGGGGCCAGTGCTGAAAAGCAGCAGTGAAAGAAATTTACTTTATTTGTAGTTACTTTTAATGTACAACCTTATCATTTTTGAGGTTAATAATAACATTGCTAATGTTAATTAAGCTTGCTCATCTACTAGGCTGCGTTGATGACTACAACCAATGCTACAACTACAGAATATAGGTCGAAGTATGAATAGTCACTAACCTCCATAAGGGCTAAGCTTGGCCAGCTCCGGCGTCAGACCATTCTTGATTTCGTCAGGGCACGGGCACACTTCAATCTTGAGCGTGCCAGGGATGCACTTGAGCTTCTTGGGCGCTGAGCTCGGCCGCTTTATTTCGGCCAAAAACTTGTAGAGATCTTCATCGCGCAGCTTGTCAGTTTCCTGTGAACATTGGTAAATGTACAGGGTGTTTGGAAGGTTAAACAAACTCGTAGGGTGTACAACTGTACATGTAGGGTCATTTTGAGAATAAAATTCATTTGATTCTCAATTTAAACTCACGTGGCCGTATGTATCTGTAGGGGAGACTGGGGCTGGTCCTAACAAATGAGCCTCCTCAATGAGAGTCCTCAAATTTAATGAGCTTTACGTAAAGTACAACAAAATGTATACAATAATT